TAATTGAAATGAAATGTATATATTTTGATTGGTAAATTTTTAATTGAATACATTTTGTAATTTGCACTACCTGTTTCTTTCTTTATTTTTATAATTTGTTTTCTATGTGTAAATTTAGATTAAGTAATAAGATTATGTACACATTCGAATAAGAGGAAATGCTGTTAGATGTCCGTATGTCTCTACAAATATGTATAGATAGAACACACCTATGAATTATATTTGATCTTTATAAAAGCCCCACGGTATACGTATGGCGAACCTACATCATATTTTTGAAGACCGAGTTTCGCCGAATGATCATAAAAATAATAATTGCATTTTTAGCAAGTCAGTATATTATAATATGTTGCGTATTTGGCACCGCTGCTCGCTTGGCACCGCCAACAAAAATCTACAGATCGTAAAATGTCCTCTACGTTTCGCTGTGTACGAAATACCACGTAAAAGTGTACTTAGCTCACAAGGTAAAAGGGAAGATTTTCGATATTGTTTGTTTTAACTTTGGAACTGAAGCAACCAAAATAAATCAATAAATCTTACTTCAAATTTGTTTTCGGAGTAGCTAATAATATGATAGAATAATACTCGTTTATTTCGTATTTTTCTTGAAAATAGAGACTTCTGAACTGTATTGAATTTGTTATTAAACCAATAAGAAAAAGTTCCACAAATTTTGTGTAAAAAAATCGACACATAAACCTAAAATATATTTTTAATTCCGAGCGTAGCGAGGGAGCTATTGGTTTTACAATGCTGTTTAATTTTTTCCCTTTTTTTCTTTGTTCTAGTCTGTGAATACGTTTTTCCCTAGTAAATTTGCACCGATTTTTACGTGTAGCAACTTTTCTGAAAGCTCAAGTTATGATTTTCGATGCTATTTTTTAATAAAAAGCAATTAAGTTGGAAAAAACGTAAGAAAACGTAAAATTTCATAATTTCATTATTTTATAAAAACACGGATGACGTTTTCTACCAGAAAAAATGATTTAATCGAAAAATGACAGGAAACCTTTTTTGTTTCATTTTTACATCTTGTTTCTCATTACGAAATTCGTTTTTTGATTTCATAATAATTCGGAAAAACCAGAAGAAGACGAAGTTGTAATTCAGTTAAAAATATTAATAGTGACCTGCAAAATGGACAGAATGCTCACATTTCGTTGTTTAAATTGCACTAGTGCATATTGCATATCAAAAATTTGACAAAATGTTGAAAATTTCAGCTATAATTGTATTTATTATAATATTATAATAACCATCAGAAGTATAAAAAAAGGTGGATACTCGTTAAGTTTGAAGGGATGATATAACATAGTGTCTTATTTTCTTCAACAACAAGAGACCATATTTTTTTTTTTTTTAATAAGCGTTTTGAAATCAAATTTAAACGAAAATCGCAAACAAAATTTACGGCACTTCAAATTATGTATTACCGAACTGCACTCGGAGTCGTCTTTCATCAGCAATGGTTTATCGTTGCTTACAGATATAAATGAAATAACCTTATGTATCCTACCTTTCCAACTTTTCACCTACAACAGTGGTTTCTCCAGCCTCTCATCCACCGTATTAGCTCTTTTTTTTTTTATCTTTTTCTCTCTACTTATTTAAACGGCTCCTTCTGGACCAAATACTTGAAATCGGAAGATTTAAAGTCCTAAGGTTTTTTTTTTCTAGGTGATGGATTGAAGATGTACGAAAGTTAGGTTGAATTTAATTATACATTTTATCATGTTTTACGGGAGGAGTAGTAGTTTTCTTATTTTCATTTTAAAAACCTTTGTGCAACTATTTGAGTGGATTAAGCAAGAGTAACAAACACCAATACTTACCGACTGGGGGGAGAGGGTAAACCATTTAGCTATAACAGTACAGGTGTGTAACACATAATATATATTAAATAATTTTTGCCAACACATTAATTTTTTTATCTGGAAAAATGTATCAATCTTATCGATACTACACATATTTATAAATCGTTTCACGCGTACCACAAATAAACAAGATTTCGTGAATTATATCTGATCATTGCAAAAGTTGACTGAATTATAGTACTATAATATACATCAATAAATGAGTAATGAGCCGTAATCGTATTGTTATAATATATGACGTCAAAACGTGAACTTTTATGTTTGACGTGAAACGTCAAAAGATCATAAATTATTTTTTTAATTGCGGAAAATTGCGTAGTTTTTTTTGTAATTTTTCTTAGCTATTTTTATTAATATATTATATTATACAATACACGTTAATTGATTATAATATTGTTCTTAGAGTTGCGAGATTTGCAAAAATCGGTCGGTATCGACGGTTTTAATTTAATTTTTAGATTCTAAGAGCAGCGTGCATTTACAATACAATGTGCGTGATTTTTTTTTTTTTTATGTATGTATGTATGTATGTGTAATAACCTCTTCTGCTCCAAATTTAAATTTTAGTATATTTTCTATTGGTGCATTGGAAGATCGGTTTTCGATTTTCCTTGTAGTTTTATTAGTAACTGAGAATAAATGAAAGAAAAATGGAAAAGTTTACGGAAATAATCATTTTTCGTCATTTTCGTTATAGTTCGCTTAAAAAGAATCGTAGAGACCTAAAATGTTCAGATATACTTCGAGCAATTTTTGAGCAATTTTTAAACATTTGACATTTACGAGGTTTTTATTTAGTTTTAATGTGGATAAAATTGTTTTGCGGAATAGAAATTTTTGAAAAATCTTACACGAGGTTCATTATAATTTTTACTACGTAGTAAAAAAAAGTTTAGCGTAATGAACATTAAATTTTTTAAACTTAAAATAAGTTCAAATGTTAACTAATATCTTAAAAATTATCACATTCAAAACATGTACAACTGAACTTGACTCAGAATCGTATGATTATCATTTATCGTTGCATATTGCACAAATATCAAATTAATATAACAGTGGTAAATCTTATCAGCAATACCATTTCTCTTATTTCTTTTACGACATGAAATGTATTATATGCTGTCGAGTGAACAAAAAACAAAACACGATGATCGCTAACCTATCATTTAACCCCGCGTTCGGGTCGGTTACCCGATTAGCTAACTATCTACACATTAGACGCGTAAACCAACATTTGGTAATAGTGGGTAAAATAAGGTTCCGATTAGCCAACACATCGTAGTCTTGAAACGTATAATACAATAAAGTATAAAACACGTATTATCCGTACATTTAAAAGTTTTTTTTATGACTGCTCTGAACAGATAAATTATTAGGCATAATATTGTCAATTAATATCGATAAGTGATAACCACAGACATTTATTCACACGCAAGAAACACATCAGATTAATTACTATCAAATTTGTATATTGACAGATGATTTTAAAAATGTTTGAGAATTTTACATATAATTTAAAATAATATTATACTAAATAATTTTGTTATGATTAATGTTGAACTAAATATTTTGTCGTTCCGACACGTGTTGCGTTTTCGTTGGAGGGTGACCTGGTCTCCCGGTGGTTTTCACTCCTCAACGACAGCTGGTGACAATAATAATAATAATAATAATAAAACTATTATTATTATTTTTATTGTTAAATACAAAGAAAAAAACACACACGAACAGCAGGGTTCTGCCACTAGAGTTGAATTTTCACCAGCTGACTATTTGTTATTAAAATATTTGCATTGTTTTTTTTTTCTTTAACATAAGAGAATTGAACGAGAAGTTTTATCAAAATAGGTAAAGTATAGTTCTCTAGATTTCTGCTAACAAACGACCAGACTGTGGAGTCAAGGGTTAGGTTAGGTTAGGTCCTCTACGGAAATTGTATTTATACATACAAATTTTAACCCAGTTACTTAATTATCATGTATCTGTAAAGGTATTTAAAAGTCGCTAGTTTCTTTGAAAACATGAAATCTAAGCAAGACAAATGGTTAGGAAGTGGATTGAAAGTTAAAACCACCATAGACACGTCCTCGTATACAATTTTATCCCCATGGTGATGTTCATATTGAAATTTAACCAAAATGTTATTGTTTCAATCCATTTATATATAAAAAAAAATTGTTATTACCGAATTTAAGCTCTTATGGTTTGGGGAAGCCCTTAAAGTCTCCAAATGTGTCGGGAATAGATATATGTATAACTGAAACAATATAATAGTATCTATTTTCAGAGAAAATCCGAGAAAAATCGTGACATAACCCGGGGGAACCAGAGGCCTCATCCTCAGACTAACGACTATACAAAAATTTAAACTTTTGCATTTTTTATAATAGGTTAGGTCAGGCAAATTTTCAACGAAGAAAATCGGATAAGAGCAACGTTCGAATCGATTTTACTATGATATATTTTTATATTTTCACTTTTTTTCCTGTTTGTGAAGAATTCATTTTCTACCAGAAATCTTACTGCAATCGAAAAATAAGTTTGGTCATTAATATTCAATAAGTTTATCATCGGTGCTTAAACAGATATAAACTAAATAACCATGTGCGTCCTACCATTATTAACTTCTCACCTACAACGACGGCTGCACACCTCTCCTCAGTATCACAACTGTTTTTCGCGCTCAGTAATAATTTTTTTTTTAGGAACCCCCCAAAATTCAATTCTAGATCCGCCACCGCGTCGTCGTTGTCGCGCATCGTTCGGCCAACAGATGGCGTCCCGTCTTGTTTACAGAGCGTGCACACGGCGACGGACGGCGGCCGCGGCCGTCGTATAGTGCCCGTACGTCGTCGAGCGTCGTGTTTCGCGTTGTTTGTGTGTTGTGTTGCGAGCGCCGCCCCGTTATCATTCGAGAACTGGATGCACTCGGCGGCGATCGAGGCCACCGTTCTATTAATAGTAATCGTATCATTCTCAGGAAGTGTACGGCGCGCGGGCCTGTGTGTGTGTGCGTGTGTACACTTGGTGCGCGCTATGTGTTTTCGTGCGAGTGCGCGCGCGCTCCCGTAACAACAACTTGTTGTTCGCCGCCGCCGCCGTCGTCGCCGTAGTCGTCCGCGGAGTCGCCGTCGCCGCCGCAACCGCAAAACCCGTAGTCGTGAGTCGTCGTTCCGTGTATGTTCCGCGCGCTCGTCGCACACAACGCGTCCGTCGTGCGCCGCCGTGAATCGTTATTGTCGGTGGTTCCTTTTTATTTTTCATTTCTTCGTCACTCTCTCTCTCTCTCTCTCTCTCTCTTTCTCTCTCTCATACACGCACTATCTCACTCGTTGCCGCCTTTAAAGCAGTCGTAGTGTAGCACTGGTTGAAATCGTTTACGCGATGCGGTATTGTTGAAAAAAAAAAAAAAACAACATCGTACGGACGAAAACGATATAAAAAATAAAAATAATACTTCGAAACGCCGTTGGACTACGTTCGTAGTAAGCGTACGATTTCAGTAAAAAAAAAAAAAAAAAAAAACATCCACCCGAGTGCGCTCGTAAGATGTGCTCCTGCGGTTAACGGCCAGCGGTACGCGCTCGTTTCCCGCCGTCGTCGATGCCGACCATTTTTTTATTTCTAGGTTATGTTCTATGATAACCAATTGCCCGAACAGTGATAATACAATAATAATAATAATAATAATAATAGTAATAATATTAAACGCAACCGACGGACCTGCGGAACGGCCGCTTCCGCCGCCGCCGCTGACAAGTACGAATCAAATGCGTTATTGTCGAATCGACCAGTAAGTAAAATAGCCGTGGCGTGCGCTGTTTGTACGCTCGTTTTTCCGATCGCATTTTTACGGTAAAAAAAAAAAAAAAAATAATATTATTTATACTTTTCTTCAATATTGCGCACCCTCCGTCCTCACCCCGCTGATATACGACGTTTATTGTTATTTTTTTCTTTCTTCTTTCTAAAAACCGGTATACCTAACACCAGGCACCCGACTACCGATTCCGTTCGGTGTTTTTTTTTTTTTTGTTCACGACGAGAACTTTTCTCCGCGGGGTTTATTTTTTTTTCGTCGCGATCAAATTATTCGAAACTGCCGTTCGATCAAATTATTCGAAACTGCCGTTGATCACGCGCACGCGAAACGCGTCGAATCGCCGCGATTAAAGAAAAAAAAAAAAAAATATCGTTTTTTAATATATTTTTTCCTTCTGTTTGTGTGTTTTTAGGTGTTCGGTATAAAAATAATATATCCCGCGCCGATGTGATTGTTTTCGTCGGGGTCTTCGCCGCGCCGACGATGTCAACCCGGACGCTGTTTCTGACGACGGGTAAGTGCCACGCGAACCGCACCATCGCGTGCGCGCGTGTACGCGAATAACAATAACAATAACACCGTCGACACAACAGCAACGACGACGACGACAACAACAATAATATTATAACACGGGGCCTATATGCGCGCAATCGCATTATGCCCGCCGCCTAATAATGTCGAGAAACTGGTCTCCGCCGAGCGGTATATAATAAAAAAAAAAAAAAAAAATGGTAAACGGCGGGCGCGTTCGCGCGTTATCGGGTCCGCGCAGGGGCCCTGCGAATACAGTGGTACGTTAGCGGCCATCCATTCGCCAAACGTCCCGCTCGCGATGGTAACAATTTATTGCATCGCTGTTGCCGTCGGTCGTATTTTCGTCGTACCGTGGTTATAGCGCCGGCGGCGGTGTCCGTCGATCCGGCGTAAAAATAACGCGGCCGGGTGTCTACCCGGAATCGCGACGACGTCCGTTTTATGCTCGTGTCTGCCGTTCGCCGATACTCGTCGTCGATTTCGATACGTTGTCAACAAAACCGGTAAATCGCGATCGCCGAATACGAACGCGTACTGTCGACAATAATAGCGCAGCCGTCCGCAGATCGATTTCGAAAAATTGTGACTAGCTTATGCCCCCGGCGGGAAACGCGTGATTTTGTTTTTTCAGTAAAACTCAATGAAAATCGTCGCGGCGCGTACAGGCCCGAAATAATGTAGAAAAAAAACAAAAAAAAAATCCGCGAGCGTTCTTCCGCGGGTACTCCGGGCGGCCGGCGACGCGCGCGCGGCAATCTTGACCGTGACATTTTAATAGAAAAAAAAAAGGAGAGACGCCGCCGGAGGCCGCGGCGCGACGTACGGTATAGCGTTTAGAAGAGGAGGTGAGAGAGTGAGAGAGCCGCCGCGATGTTCGATTTATAATATCGTAATAATCCGGACCGATAATTATTATTAATATTTTATAATGCCGATGCCGCATACGTACGTAGAAATTATTATTACGTAATTCCGAAAAATGCGCAAGAGTCCGCGTTCGCTCGGACGGCCGCCGTTAACCTCTGTTATAAATTATTATTATTGTAGTTATACGCGGTGTATGTGTGTGCGCGCGCGTGTGTTCTTCCCGACGAGTCGTTTTATTAGTAATTATTATTAACACAAACGCACTCGCGCGCGCTGCGTGCACACACACATACACACACACACACACGTAGTGTGCCGATAGTAAAAATTCGGGCACGTTTCCGAAGGTCAACATGTGTGTGTGAGTGTGTGTGTATGTGTGTGTGTGTGTGTGTGCGTGTGTGACACTCTGTGACCGGCGGCGGTGTTTTCGAGCAACACGAAAACAACGGCTTTCGAGGGGCGCGCCTCATATATGTGCTTTTTTATTTTTTTTTCCGTACTACCGGCGGTCGAATTCGAAAGGGATGAGAACGTCTGGTGGTACCGGGTACCTCGATACCGCGTCTCAACACTTCCCGTCCCCCACGATGTAATTTATCCGCGATCGTTTTACGTTAAATTCCTCACCCCTCCACCGGCCACGTAGTCTTCCGTTTTTTCTTTTGCTTTTTTTTTAAATTTCTCGAATTTGAGCAGTACACGCTGTTGTTGTTGTTGTTGAATAAGTACCCCGAATACGTTCGTCGGAGGACTGCGTTCGGAAATTTGGAGTAGAATCGAATCTCGCGGAGTTTAATACGATATGAGATTATGGCCGTCCGTCTTGCTCGCGAGAACCGAGCGATTATCACGTACGCCACTTGTCACTAGGGCTCGGAAGTTGCAGAAATTTCATGTTTTTCTGTATGCACCGAATTTATAGCTGACTAAGTTAGAAATACTTTCTATACGATAGAGAGTTTGAAAATTGACCATTTGAAATGCATATTTTGCATATTTCGTCGATTTTCATTAATATTTGCATATTCTTACGCATATTTAATATTTTCTAAAAAATATTACTTCTTTTTCTTTGTTAATCAGTTTATTTTAAATAATATTAAATTTAAAACTCAATATTATTTAACGCATTTATTCACTATTATTTCTTACTGTCTCAGTCTATTATTTATTTAACGACAACGGCGCGATTCGTATTTAATTTTTATCTTAGTTCCGCATACTAATAACGACATTATATGTTTGAATAATAAACTGAATAATTTTTTGAATATTTAAAATTTGTTCGTGCATATTTGCATACATATTTTGCCTTTTTTTAGCTCCTATAACTTCCGAGCCCCATTTGTCACTCACTTCGGTAGAGTTCAAATAACCTGTAGCTATTTTCCGTGGGGGGGGGGTTACATGAGAATTTACTCGGCGTAATAGAACAGGTGCGGGTTTTTGCCGTTTATAGAGTAGTAGCTCTGTAGTTTTTTTCAAACGGCCCACAGTTAAAAGAGTTGAAAGACCCAAGAAAAATAATTATTCGCCTGCGATAACATTTTTACCCTCTTTCTAACGTGCGGTACTGTGGCGATAAATGCGTACACGGTTCTAAATTGACTTACAAAAATGTTTTACCCGGGTTTAAGTCGTCGACATTCGCATTTATGCTTTCGCGGAGGAAGGGCTGGGTTTTTTAATATTTCTGATTTCCGGACAATCTTTTCATACTCGAACGTCTGAATGTAAAACTTTACAGTGAAAATACGAAAGAAAAAAAACCCTCAACGAAATCATAGTTTAAATCACGTATTCATTATGCAGTTTGAAGACGAGAACATTTTGAAGACTAAATTTTCAATTCGTTTTTGAAGGTACACAAGAAATCGTATTTAATTTTTTTTTTATAAGAAACAGCAACTTTTTTGATAACTAATATAAAAAACGTTGATTTATCTGATATTATATAAAAACGTTTTTGAATTATTTTCCGTTAATTTTACCTTTTACGCGAACATGTTTTTGCTATATTATCATTGTGAATGTGTTTTACTGTGACGTCCCTAACAATACTTCCGAGGCCTAGCAAGCATGCAGTTTTCAACAGGAGGGAAAAAATAGTAGTGATAAATAAAGTTCCTGTTCTTCCTTTCCTTTCCTTTTTTTTTTTTACCCAACTCGACGATGGGAATTTAAAAACCGGATCCAAAAAAAATAATAACTCATTTTTATTCGATAAATCAAAAATTTCCATGTAGGTATAACTTACCCCAAATATATTCCTATCGAAATTAAATTACCAAATAAATACTCATACAGTTGATGTATTTAAAAACCAATGAGGGGGGATATGATCCCTAAACTCCCTCCTCCCGAGCCGTTGTAATACTTATTTAGTACTCGTATTTACTATACTGTAATGTACTGTAATTAACTTAATGCGTTGATTCGCTACTACGACTACTACCACTACTATCACTACTACAACCACTACCACTTCTACTACTACTACAACTATTACCATCGCCACCACAACAAGTGGGTATCAATATTTTTCGAACGAGGTCGCGAACGGTTCGCAAATCGGTGATAACAATACCTGCACCGGTGTGCACGTAGGACCCCGGGATACGTTTTATTATATTATTATATTTACAGAGGCCCGAATTTTATAGAAATACAATTTTATGAAATTTGTGTTAAAATATGCAATACGAAACAGAAAAAAAAATGGATTTATTTATACCACTGATTATTTTTATTTATTTAATCGATTGACAGGCCACTACGCCGGATTATATAAAAAACGATCTTAAATTTTTCTCCTATTTCCATACGATTTAAATAGAATTTATGAAAACCTTAAAATTATTCGTACTTAATGTATAACGTGTATGTGCATGTGTATGTTAATATAGTAAAAAGTAACACCAGAAATCTAAAACGCTTCATTTATGCTGAACAAATAAAAAATTGTATATTTGGCATCATAGATGCAAAACTGATGTAAAAAACTAATGATAATAAAACTGACGTATAAAAATAATTTATAGCTCACTTTGCTATTTTGTTCTGTAGCTCCTGTACCACAAAATCTGAGTCCAAAACATCAAATAAAATATAATAAGTTATTATTCACACAGTAGACGAGTGTTTGACTTTTTAATTCTAAGATATGATTTTCTTAAAAAAAAAAATCGTCATAAGCTGCATTATTGTCCTATGCGTTTTTTTTTTATTTTTTTTATAATCGCCAATGCAAAGAATGCATCTTACGTTACTACTGTTGCTCGTAATATGCTACATATTGATTTTTATAATATAGTTTTCTTATGCAACTTTTTTTTTTCAACAAACAAATATTATTAAATATATTTGCTGGAGATAACATAAAAAAATAAACGACAATATGTGTTTAATAACGCGCTTGTATTATTATATTTTACGAAATCCTTCAAAAAAGACTGATATTGATGATTGGATGTGCCATTGTTTTGGAAATCAAGTTGGACGAGGGTATATGCCATAGAGTAATATAGAGTTATATTTGTACGCCATTAAAAACCATTGGTATCGAAAAACGATTCTGAGCAGAGTATTTATAAGTCGTATTTTTCCCTTTGTTATCAAGATAACCAAAAAATCAGCATAATATGTAACATATGTAAACATGTTTCCATTTACTAAGAAAACTACAAAGAAATTCCAAAAAATAACCACCCCTGTGTACCAACTAGATCAAAAATTCTACAATCATATAAGGTTTTTGGTTGAAGCAATATTTCTGGTAGAATAGTTCTTTACACGCAAACGAAAAAAATTCCGTCATAATTAAACCAATATATTCTACCTAGCTACGCTCATTATCTAAAAAACAAAAATCACCGTTATTAGATTACGACTCCATGGGGTAATTTAAAATAAAATATTTAAAAAATGTAAACAATTTTTTTTCCGTCGGAACGTTTTCGACGATGGTGACTATGACTCTGACCGCGACGTAGAGAGCAAAATATACAATCACTCGCAATGTGCTCCCCGGTAAGAGCAATATACAATTACCGAGTAATTTATTTATTCGTTTTTTTTTTTAACGGGTCAACCAAAGGGTATCTCTTGATTTTTAGTACAGAGTTCGGTTCGAAAAATTTGCCTTCGGTCCGCCTACCTTCTCCTACCGTCCCCGCCCTGTATATTTACCGAATTAATTTTAATAGATTCGATAATAATATTATATTACCTACTTATATTTTACACGTTTAAATTGTATTAACCGTACACAAATTCTCGGATAAAACAATTTGTACCTACCTATATAATATAAGCAATAGACCAGCGTCTCCCGAAAAACGATAATATTAATAAATAAGTAGGTATACAGAATGATCAATATAACGTTACAAGACATTCGTGTACTCGGAGAGTATTTACTTTTTTTCGAAATGCTTATTTTTTTCTTTTTAAATTATCGAAACGTTATGTATCACAGTCATTTGTTATCACCCTTATTTTCGGAAGGTTGAAACTAGATATGTTTCGGGGTATATTCGGCCAGCAATTGCTAACCGGGTACCCGATATCATATTCAGCTGTACCCGACGACTACTCGTTACACGATAGTATTATTAAATATTTACTCGACCGTACCCGGTTCATCACTGTCTAAAGCTCACTTTCCACGTGTTAATGTAAAAAAAAACAAATATGTACCCACAATCGACCAAACGGAAAAAGATTTTATATTGCATGATCGCGCTGTGGTATAAATTGGAAATAAATTATATTTATGTGTATATTGTTTGCTATTTAATATTTATATTTATTTATTTTATTGAACGTTTACTTAGTAACTACTGGCTTGTGGCTAGGTGGCTTAGTTATTAGCTTTTAGTAGATACTCAGTAATCATTTTCATTAGTCTTATATATGTTATCTTACCTTAATACTTGACCGGTGATTAGTACCCAAGACTTGCAGATTTCGATAGATATTATTACTCGGTACTAAGTCTATGTAAATTATTACTTGATTGTACCCGAATAAATAGGTTTTAACTGATATTATTACCCGTCCAATTAATAAATAATGTACCCGTAACACTTCTAGTTGACACCGCTACTCTACACTTTCGATTTTCAAATAGCTACGTAGCTATTACGTAGTATTACGAACTTCATAAATATACGAACTTTGTAACGTGGTCGGGGGACCAATATTGCGATATAATAACTTGTCCAGAGAAGGTTTTCTGAGTCCTCTAGATAAAATTCTCGTAACTGGACGTGAACATCGCATATAAGGTATTTATCAACTATGGAGAATTAGGAAAACTTGTTTGGTTTGTATCTCTGATATTATATTTTAATAAACGCGTTGGTTGTCTGTACCTTTGAGTTGGCTGTTTATGGCTTATTCGTGATGGTAGCCGACGAATTCTCCCTCCCGCCCCCGTTTGTATTTAGTCTGGCTCGTCCACTATAGTTTGGCCCAAGTAGAGAAGTGACCACACCACACATAGTGTATACTGTATATAATATATATCTATTATGTGCCGAATATTACAGAAGTTTTAGTTTAGAGTGTATAGTAGAGCTGCACAAATGACGCTCCACTCTGTATGTACTTATTATTGGAAACGAAATTTATTATAAATACAAATAGATATTATACCGTTAGGTTAGAGGTGCCGGGAAACAAACTGTAATTGTAAGTAATTGCAGTCGAAAAAAAGGGCTGATAATACTCTGCTGATGGGTGTACCACTGTTATTGGTGGAAAGTCGGGAAGGTAGGATGCAGACAGTAATTTAATTTATATCTGTACGAATCGATAAATCACCGCTAATGAAGCACGATTCTGAGCGAAACTAGGTTAAAATTGTAAAATTTCGTAATTTGTACGATTATCGTAAATTTAATTATGTACATTTAATGTACCTTCCTAATTTTCTTTGGTCGGCACCAGCAGCGCCGCCCGAATGACCTCTTTATACCACTACCTCAACCAGCGTTACATTATCGCGCCACATTACGATAAAAGCCTTAACCAAATAATTACGGCAAAAATCGAAAATAATGAAACCTTTACATTTTGCCGTTTTCCCCCGTTGTTAGATAAAATTACAAGCGTGAGAAGAAATGTCCTATGGTGTGTCTTTTTTTTTATAATTTCTTTTTATGCGTAGTGTTTTATTTTTATTTTTATAAGCATTTTAAAATCAAATGTTGATGAAAATTTTTAAAAAATACGGCATTTCAAGATGTGTCCAGTCGAACTTCGCTCAGAACCGTTTTTTCCAGCAATGATTTATCGTTGCGTTCGAATATTATTATTATTTATTACTATCGGATATTATTATTTAATATTATTAATAAACATATTTAGAAATATAAATTAACTAAAATAAATATGTAACTTTATGTATCCTGCCTTATTCCCACTTTACATGTACAACAGTGACACATCCATCTGCAGTATAGCCTTTTTTTTTCTTTGGTTTTATTATGTTTTCATTTTCGGGTAAATTAACGACTGAAACTTGAAAAATTTAATTCAAGGTGAATTTGAATACGATCCGACCGATTAATAATGTAAAAATAATAAAATGCTGCGTAGTTCCCTATATGCAATATACATTATATTATATAAAGTTAGAACAAGGAAAGGAAATATGTGGTGGTCCCTGTCTCTCCGTGATCCTCTTAGAACATATTTTCGCCTGAGTCGATAAGTGTATTATAGTGATAAGACGTATTATACGTGATAACAAAATGGTGCCTGTCCGTAGTTATATCGACGAAAATCTATTATAATATAGCTTAAATATGTTTTTTTTTTCCTTATCTACAGACGACGTAAACTAAAATGCTTTATGTACTTGACGTGATGTAGGTAATATAATAAATTATAATCAGTTGTTATATACGTATTTGAATGTAATAAATGTAATGTGTTCGAGCATAGTGTGATGTTTGAGATTATATTAATAATGTTAGTATATTAATGTATTATATTATATTGAAAATAATATCGTATTATTATTATTATAGGTATTTCGATGGCCAATATTGTAATAAAAATAAATATAACGAAATGAACAATATTAAATTATAATACACATTATTTTTTTTTCGCGTCCAAACAGCAATAAATATATAATATAATATCGCGATAAAAATATTATATTTTATTGCTTTTGAAAATCTACGGCAAATCTTATCAAAATTTGAATATATAGAACACGTTATACTACTTATTTTGCAATAATAAAAAAAAAAAATCTTTTTTATGAATATACGCGATCGATCTAGTACGGTTATTTTTAATCGCACATAGAATCAGTGTACGTCATAATATAATGCCTTACGCATATATATAATTTTAGAGTATACAAGTATAGGCCTACAAAAAAATCCGTTGAAAATAATAGTACGTTATTATTATTATTTTTTTATAATATTTAATTGCGAAATTTCGACGGCGCTCGTGCGATACTACAATAATAATATAATAACCAGAAACCGCAAAGATAATAATTTATGGTTTTGGATTCTTAGCACGGTATTAGCGAACGAGCGATTACGATTTTACTGAAATGGTGGTTTTTTTTTTTTTACGGAAATCTCTTTTTCGGCTGGTAAACGCCAGAATTATAAGAACGTATAATTCAGTATAGTTTAAAGTAGATTTAATAGTATTGTACGTCCACACAGTTATAGGTGCTCATTGGGGGGGGGGGGCAGGAGAGGGATAGCCTCCTTGGAAAATCTAAAAAAAAAATGATGTATACTTTGAATCATATATATACATATATGTACATAATATAATACATTATTGTATTATGATCTAAAAATAATAATAAAGTAGCGTAAGAAGTTAAGACGGAAATATTAATCGTTAAATTATATTTAAATCGATTATTAATTACAAAATTGTCCAAGTTGTACAAAATTTTATACTTGTGGGATTTACTGTTCTTAGCCGCGACCTAACGTTGATGTACTCGTATCAAGCGACGTGTGTTCTTTTATCCAAAAAAAAATCGTTAGCTGCTGCATATTTTGACCGGTTTCGTCGTGCATTTAAATAAGTATACGTCGATCGGTTTTTTTTTTTTTAGTGCAACAAGTCCCTTATTCTAATAGTATATACTCGTATAACGTTATATAAGAGTTTACAAAATATCTCCAGCAACAAAATATTATTATTATAATATATGCAAGCGCGTTTTACGTGTTTCACTATATATATACAGAGTAATTCGTTTGTCACGAACTATCGCTGCGATTTTCAGAGAGATTCGATTCTGCCCCCCCCCCAGCCGATACGTGGAATCATTTAGGTTTCGTTTTCACACGTTATTCGCAATTTGTTTTATCCCTATTCCGTTTTTCTTGGATTTGGTAGGCATACGCTTTTAGTTTAAAAAAAAAAGTTCGAGTCCCCCGGCCGGTTTTAAAACGCGGATTCGAGTGGAGAATATTATGAAAAATGTTGTGGATTCAAAGATAGGTCGATCGCGAGAGCGGGGAAAAAACGATTTTTCACCGGTTTTAACATTTTCCCGCGGAGGACTCGTTACCCAGCGCCCGCGCGGGACACGGGTTATCGTTTATTATTGCGCCCTATATACAAGGCGACGTCCGTCCGCAGCCGGATCCCGCGTGTCGCGAAAACCGACCGGCTAACGCCGACTGCAGCCGTGCCTCGGATCACCCTGTAGAACACGTATGTTATTTACGGGCGGAGTAGCGAAATTTCGGGAAAATATTACGTATACTTCGCGGACGATATTTTATTATTATCCGGGCGATCGGCGCTTCCGGCGATCCGATCGTCGTCGGTGTTCGCACGATTTCGAACTCGCCACACACGCGCGCGCGCGCTCCCGCGAATATGTCCTTATAATAATATGCGCACACGCGTGTAGCCGCAGAGGCTATTTTATTTCGTTTTTTTTTTCCTTTCTTCTTTTCGTTTCTTTTCATTTTTTTTTTTCTGAAAGGACGACGGTGGTGACGAGAACCAGTTGTGTTTTGTTGTCTACATTATAAAACGATACACGCGTACTGCTAGCGCGCCCGTCGGTGCCCGGGTGTCTGTGCCCGCCGCGCGCCAGGCGCACCCATTGACCGCGCGGCACAGAGAGAAAACCGCCCAAGATAAAAAAAAAAAAAAAAAAAAAAAAAAAAAAACGCGGCGTGTGCGGATTTATAAACACGATCGTATATGTATACAAAAAAGAAAAAAAAAACTGAATAAATATTATAATAATAATAATAATACTTACGCTATTATGTTCTCGATTTGAAATCCTGCGAGTACCTATGTAACACACACACTAGAATATTTTTTTCCCGCCCAATCCGCGTGCAAATATTATTTTAACGCCGTGACACACATACGGGTACGCGACTTTTATACGCGATGTCGTTCTGTCGGGTGTATACACAGGCTTTCATGTCGCCAACAACACCGCCCAATCGTATCTCATATATATTGGGTGCACCCTCGAAATATCCCATATATTATTCATCATAATATTTTAGCAGTGATTCGATTCTAAACAGTTTATTTTGAAAAAAAAAAATATTAAATAAACTTAAATTACAACACAAGCGCAATGCAATTAATTATATACCTGTATTATTTTATTATAATAAAATATATTGTACGTTATCCTTTTTAAAATATCTAGTACAATTGAATTTTCATAGATATTTGAAAACCGTTACTCGTTTTAACCGCCGGTTTATATATATATTTTTTTTTTTTACGTAAAACTAATCAAACAAATGTTTCACTGTTTTTGCTCCTTGAAGGCTTAAATAGTAACAATAAGTATAATATTATTTCTTTACAATAACTCATTTAATTTCCCTTGTTCTATTTGAAAACATTTGATTAATATACATATCGATACACGATGAGCACCTATAACCTATTATGCATACTCTTATAAACGCGTACGACATAGCAAATTTGCGTTTAGTGAGTGCTGTTAGTTTTAATATTAGCTAAAGTGAATTAGCTTATTATCAAGACAAGAACATTATATCTGTTCAACTTTGATACTTTAATTTTTAATAGATATAAGTATTTTTAAATTGAGATATTTCACATATTGTTTTGAATTTCACTATGTTGTTGCAAGCGAATCGTGTCTTTTTAGCTTTGTACACCCCTTCAGACTCTTCGAATAAAGTCAGGAAAGTGGTATTTTGTGTATGCATAGCGTCAGTATCAAGGGGGTGTCTTTTGGTTATTTCAATTTTCAACCCCCACCTTTTACCATTGTTAGGATTAAATTTCGCGTTTTTTTTTTTTTTTTAGTAATAGTTTATAAGTTTATGACAACTAAACTAATCCAATTTAGCGTATTTTTATTGTTGTAAAAATATATATAATATATTTATATAAAGAATATTTCAAATATTCGACAAATACAGGGAGAGGGGGAATAGTAACGGAGCTCTCTGCTGTTCACGAGTGTTATTTTTTCTTCTTGCGGTTTTTCAATGGTTTCTTCGTATACGTTTTTTGCACAACCGTCATAGGTACGTTTCCGTGCGTTTATTATAACGGTGGCGGTATATCGTTTATAAAATAAACTATACATAATGTAATGATGTTATTCAAACATATATTACGATTCGATAAATATTATTATACATTCGTATATCGGTATCTCGAATGAATTGTTAATCTATGTGTATGTTTACATAATAATTGTGCAGTGTTCTCGATAAGTATATATACACGAGACTTTATAACGTGTATTGCATAATGGCGAATTCTTAATTCGCTATAATATATATATATATCATCATAATAATTCGTGTTTGTATCTTTTATTTTATTTATTTATTATTCAGTGAGCATTATATTATGGCACAATAATATTATATTCGACCGTATTCGTTTGCAATATTAACATTTATTTTACAATAATAATGTACCTATATACCAAAGTTATCACGATATTTGTAGGTGTATTATCATAGACACAAATATGGAGGAGGGTTTAAACCTCTAAAATTCAAGCGTAATCCCTCACTCCCAAGTCAATTCCTCGTCAAGTATATCCTAAATATAATAGGCGTATAGTATTTTTGAAATTATTTACTAACATTATGACAGATGCTTGAGCGCCTGAAAATGTATTTGGGCTTTTTTCGGGCGGAGCTACAAATGTGTATCATATACCCTATCACATTTGACCAGTTTGTTGCTGTAAATCAATTAATAATTTAAAATGTAAATACCGTACTAGGGAATATATTTTGGAGTTTGTTCGAACACCTAAACTCTCCCTACGTTGTTTGCTACCGTTTCACGCCTATATATATTATATTATATTGAATAGGTTTTGCAATTATTTTCAGTAATGTTCACGTGGTGTCATAGTGCCTACAATGTTTTAATATTTTCCTTCTATTTTTACATATCTCTCATACTACGAATACGATATTTTTTTTATTTGGTTACGCATCACACGAAACATAACAATTATGTAGATCAGTACAAGTGGCGTATTTACGGGAAAATATTATTTCCTCCCCTCGCCTTGTTATAATACTTTCCGTCTATTATTTGTATAACTATACTTATTTTTCAAATTCAAATTTCTTTATTATTTTTTTTTTTTTAAATTAAAACCCGGACGTATGCATTTTCTTATTTTAAATAAATCCTTTTCGAATCATAATAATATAAAGATGATTAGATTATTATATTACTATTAATTGATAAATAAACTAATAATAATTATAAAAAAGAGCTGATACTGGAGATGGGAGCGGCCACTGTTGTAGGTGAGAAGTTGGGACGGTAGGATACATAAGGTTATTTCATTTATCTCTGTAAGCAACGCTAAACTATTCCTTGACAAAAGACGATTCCGACCACAGTTGGGTAATACATAAATTTGAAGTGCCGTAATTTTTCTTCGATTTTCGTTTAAATTAGATTTCAAAACGCTTATTAAAAAAAAAAGTCCAATGATTTTGGAAATTTTACCACGTCTAGGTAGGTCAAATACAAGTATTATTACCTAAGTTTCAAACCTCTATGTGTATTTACAACCGAATGACAGCAAAAAAAACAGCGAAAAATAAATAAAAAAAAAAAAACAGCATTGTAAAACCAATAGCTCGGAATCTAAAATCAAAAATTGTTTGAAAATATTAGACTTAGTTGGAGTGTATTTTAAGTTTATTTGTTCGTAAACTACAAAGTTTCGGTATTTTACCATCTTCGGGTTACTGATAACAATGTTTTTGGTTTGATTACATATTAATACAAACTAATTAAAATTTAAACATATACATTAAAATGAAATTTAAGAAAGTTTTCAGGCCTGCTCGCTTTCTCTTGTACCCAGAATGCAACCCCTTAAAGCTCGCCAACACTTAAAATCGCGTTGTATTATATCCGTGGTTTTATACTTGGAAACCGGCAAGACACAGATAAAGTACAAAGGGGAATCATATGAGTGACCCAGGGGTACACGATATTTTTTTTTATCGATTTCAGTTTTCGAATAATGATGATTGTTTCGTGTAATGCTTACGTCATTTCAGTTATGAAAAAATTCGTTTTTACCACTGTAGTTTATAATTCTATACATTAATGCAAAGAAAAAAAAAATCCAAATATTATATGAATATTTTATAACAGGTGGCCGTGTAGATATTTGTATTAATATAATATTGTACAACTGTGCGTCCGTCCGAATAGCAACCACGAACGATATTTTGGCAACTGTGTACACACTACGAATCGCCGTGTAACAACTAACATGTGGTTTTTCGCTAAGTATAATATTATTAAATGTTATATTATGTTATGCACCGCCCCATAGCTCTTGACTCATTCGAGTGAATTTGTCATTTATTATGTTTTTTCCGTATGAACAAAGTCGTTTAAAATAATATTATTACAGTTTATAAAATTGAAACGATCGTAGGAGATCGAAAAATAAACTTGGTAGCCATAGTAGCCCAGGTGCCCAGCTGCGTGCTGCGTACGTATTTATTTAATCGTGTGATGTGCGACCTTTAAAATGACAAATTATCATGAGTACAAAAAAACGAGGGAGGCTGATATTGTTTACGGGTAGGTCCTTTTTTTCAGTGGGAAGGTAGGATACATATTATAGAGTTTTTATATCCGTATATAACGATCATTTATTGCTAACGAAAACAGATTTTAAGCGAAGTTCGGTTTAAACACGTTTTAAAATACTAGGATTTAAAAAATAAATTACTATATATTACGTTCAACTTTTTGTTTATGGTTTTCTCAGGATTTCTAAACTAAAAGAAAAATAGAAAAAATAATTGTTTGCTTATAAACATACAAAACAAAAACATCATAATAAGAATCTAACGAATGATAGTCTTATTATATTTCAAATTATCTTTAATAATAGGTTATATATCTCCTTCGCTTTTATCCCAACTATTTGGGGTTGGCTCAAATATATCCATAACATAATAGGACAAAATGTTATTATACTTACATTTCGTGACGACTGGATTAACGTCGACTTACCGAAACGATGTACACAATGCAATATTTTATATGGAAAACAAATTATGTTATTTTGATAAATTGTCGATATATATGTAAAAAAAAAACTTTGAATGACAATGCTCTACCTTAATGACGTATTATTTATATTGGGTACAACATCTGGTTAGTAATTTTATATCGAAATCAATACACAATGCGAATATGATTGCAAATGTAATATTTCATATCCCTATACTGCACTTTATCGACATCATAATATATAATAAATACCGGTCAAAATACAATCTTTAGTCGCAATTGCATATTTGATCAAGTTGTATCGATCTGAAAATCCGAGCGTTGTGATAATAATAATATCGATTGTACATAACGGTATTTATTATAATATATTGTTATTCAAACAATTTTAGTAGAGGCCGTTTGAGCCCCATTTAGCTGTGAAACAAATGTCCTTTCATTCCTCTATGTTTTAAGCTATTTAAATTAAAATATTACCTATTACAATAGTTGTGTTGATTGTGAACCAGTTTACGATACCGTTACAAAAAATTGAGTAGTGAACTGCAAGAAGAAATGGGTTTAGCACCAATTACCAGCATCATTGTAAAGAGTCAAAGAATTTAGTAGGCAATTGAAACATATACAAAAGAGAATAGGTGGAAATGAGCTACGGAGCAATATAGCAGTATTGGAGTTGATAGAAAACGGAAGGGAAAAAATAATTGGTTGAAATTCCTAATACTTTTACAAAATGGTTTTTATAGGGTTTTTTTAAGAACATTTTTTAATTCGAATTTTTTTCACACGGTATTTCATAAGATACGAAATTTCTGCCTACTTTATTTGAAACATTTGTCGACACTTTCAACAGTTCACCCTTATAGGTCTTTTCTTTTCTAGGAAAATACTCTTTCGGTTATTAAGCTTTCTTATTTTAGTTCTAAATTATTCGTATTAGTACATTAAAAGATGGGGATTTTTCGCCTGGCAGTGAATTGTTTGAAAACAATGTTTAGCTTTCCAATAGTTTTTTCTATACAATTTAAAAAAAAACTAACATTTGTCGATACATCGGTTTTATTTTTATTACATTACTATAAAACATGACTAATATTATTTAGTTCAGAATCGTTTTTTCATTTGCAATGTTTTTTAGTTGCATATATTATATCTCTGTGTATCCGACCTTCTCTACTACTCGTCTACAATAGTAGTCTACCTATAAGCAGCATCAACTTAATTAAATAATTACCTAATTTATTATTTAAATTTGCGCTACGTTAATATTATGTTATGTTATTTTTTTAAATAATTTTCTACCTATGATAATTGAGTGCTTTTAAAAAATAGAATGTTTTTCGATGATTTGTCAATAGTGTATAGCAACCAATTATTGTTTGTTGTCGATCAATTATCGAGGTTTAAGACAATTATAGACATCAGTATTATGATGTGTTATCATGATTCTTTCTTACTTTTATCAATCCATCTCAGCTTTGGGTTTTCTCTAGGTCTCTTTCCTCAAGAAGTCTAATTGTAGGACATAATTTATTATATTAATTCGATGGACCTTATTAAGTGACCGATGAGTCAATTCGGTCTCTTGTATCGAATTTCAGCCTCTATAAAGTATATATTTTGTTCTTTAAATAATTCTTTGACTACTTTATTCAGGATAATCTTGTATACCTCATACATTTGCGTCTCTTCAGTTTTTTTAAGGCTCATTTTGGATTCTTCTCGGGAATTTGTCCGTGGAAATTTATTTTTCACGTCCTAATAATTTATTTAAATAATCCTCTTTAGAATCTTTGAATTAAATGTAAGTTATTAATATTATAGTACTTTAAATGTTAATTTGAGTCTGAGAACCACTTGTCCCGCGGCTGTTTTTGTATACTTACTATTAATTTAAACGGTTCTATTTTTTTTTTTTTTTTTTTTTTTTTTTATATAAATATAGGGACTTTGACTCATTTACATATTACACTTATATCTCGTATTCTTTTGATGAAAGCTCGTTTTCTTTACAAGTAAAAAATTCGTTTAAAGAGCCATGCTGTTTTCCCGTGACAATTATTATTTTTATGTTTTTTCATAACCTTATATTGACTTGTTATTGTCGCACGATATTATAATTATTATATTATATTATTATTTTCTTAGCCACCAGCTCCATAGTGCAGTAGTTACGTAACAATAACCGGAGTATTCCGGCGACAATATTACAATAATAACAATACAATGCCGATAACAACATCGAAAAAAAAATAACAAAATAAATCAACAAATATTTTATCTTAATACGAACAAATATTACTATAATATGCTCTCAATAAAAATCTATACGTCTCTGTAGGTATACGTTGTATAAGTGAAGTAATTTTTTTTGGGGTAAATCTCGAACCGTGTTTACCGGGTCACCATACTATATTATATTATATTATATAAATAAACATTTAAAAAACAAACGGACATACTTTGCACGATGGGTGAGTCACTGTTGTAGGTGAACTCGGGAAGGTAGAAAGAAAATTCAACGTATATCTACATTTACACGTAACGATTAACTATTGTTAGTGAAAAACAATTCTGAACAGAGTTCGGTTAGGTTAGGTAATAATAATAATAATAATAATATTGTTTGTGTGCACAAGAGTACTACTACTTGACGTACGAATGTTTGCGTGCGCGAATATATCGAAGGAGTGTCTCGTGTTTTTGTACGCGCGCAGGTATGCGTATATTATAATATTATATAGAAACCGGCCGCCGCCGAGAGCAGCTCACAGGCAGGCAGGGCCACCACACCCGGCAATTTATCAACGGGCCAAATTCGTGTCGTACACGATACGATGGTTTCTATTTATAGTTTTCGAGATTCCCAATACGTACACGGCGAGCGATGTTCCCGCGAGCGTATTAACAGAATCTATCCGAGTTGGGCTCCGGTTGAAACGTAACCGACTCGGTTTTAGGAGGTTTTGTAGTTTTACGAAATGCACAACGTGTATATGTATTTATTTTTGCCAACGTGAGACCCGCCAAGTCTTTTGGACAGCAGGTTATAATACAATCAAACGAATAACACCAGTACGTGATATCAGAGTAATTCTGTCTTCCGAAATATCATTCAGTGATCGTTTTTTAATGAAATAATGGTTCGAAGAAGTTGTATTGAGAGAATTCGTGGAGAGTTCACAAATGTTAAATGTTTTGTGATTATAATAATATGTGGTTTCGATCAAATCCATTCTTGAGTTTGGCAATATAGTTTAAAACATGTTAACCCTGTTAACATGGGCTGATTAATAAACTTTAGAGAGTACGGAAAAGGTTCGCAAGAATAGCGGAGCGCAATATTAGTATGACAGGGCAATCTTCTGAAGTAATTTTAAACTATTGGGACTTGTTCCAACGTCGCAATTACCTTGACTTGGGCAAGTTACTTCTAGGACACGTTATCTATCCTAATTTCCTGGTCCGTAGATTTTTTAAGAAACCAATATTTAATTTAGGAAATAGACCTATTTTAGAAGTACCTTTCATGAAATCAGATCTAATTGTATACAAAATAACGCATTCTTAGGGAATGATCATATTTATCAACATAATGATAATACCACTCAGAGACTGTATTTATATTTAGTCTAGTATTAATTTAATTGTAATTGTAACTTTAAGGTTTCATTTAAAATGTCTATTTACCCCGTTAGAATGTTTAAATTAGTTTTAAATAATCTGTAGGTAATTCTATACCATTTAGATAATTTCCCTTTTGACAAGACAGTAGAGTAGTTTAGTTAACACGGCTGCGTTGAGTCGTAATCGGTGGAATCCACATTGGAATGTGACCACGTGGAAGGATTACATCTCACGCATGCCTACCCGTTCTGTTCGTCGTTTTTTTAGCTTCCGACGTAAAATAAAATCCGATGACTCAAAGAAATATTATGTCGCGTGTGATGCGTGGGCTCGGGTCGCGTGTTCCTCTTAAAAAAACATTTACATATGTATATTCTACCGTAAATAATGAAATAATGAACCGTTTTATGTATTTTGTTAATCCGTAATCGTTTCGGTCGGTCGATTTTTTTTTTATTGAACTTATAGTCCAAATAGAATGTGTACAACCGGTATTCGGACGTTGCTTTCGGCGTTTGATCCCGAATATAACGATCGATTTTCTCCAAAATCAAAGATACTGTGTGGCGATATTCTGTATATACAACAACGCGTTCAAATTATATCATTGTAATTTCGTTGCGAAAACAATTCAGGGCCTATTTTGTGTATAATATGAAATGCAATGTGTGTAACCCGAAACTATAACATGTTATGACCAATGCTCGAAATTAAGCATTTAAATTCCGCGAAAGCTCAAAATCATGAAAATACCACTTAAAAATATTTTTTAAAAGTCCCCATTTTAATGGCTCTAATTTATCAATTAAATTGTCTAACACTACAAAATGACTAACACAAAGTAATTTTTTTAAATAAAATAGTAGGTACCCACCTACGTTTTATAAAAACTGTGTAATTTATGTTAATCAATTTTGTAGTGGTAGACAATTAATTTAATAAGTTAGGGCTGTAAGAAGGGGACATTTTAAACTCTTCTACCCTTTTTACTTCAAGTGCTTTTTCCTGGGATTTTTAAGATTTTTAAGTGATTTTTGTGTGGATTTTAGGTGCTATAATTCCCCGTTTATGATTAAACTTAATTTATAGCAATTATTCAAGCACTCAAAATTTTTAAAAAAAATGTTCTTAATCTTTGATGATTTTACTGTAAACTTTGCCGACCATAACTTAACCATTAATATCGGTTAATGTTATTACTGACAATGTTTATATGTTTTATTACAAACAGCGATTATAGTTATAGTGAAACGTTGAAATTTAAAACAGATAAAATATTAACATTTTACTTAATTGTTTTTTTTTTTTTTTTATATATATTAAACTTTAAGTGAAACATGTGATGATATTCAAAAAAGATGATGCATTTCCCACTTTTACTGCTTAATAATAGTAAAATCTGAGAAAGTAAATTACGTTTTGGGGCTGAATAAGGATGTGGGAGATGAAGTCCCCCACGGATCTGCTTGTCCAGAAATAAAAACGCGCAGTACGACATATGACAAAAAATAGGTCCTGGATCACAACAAATGCATTTCTATACGAGAAAACAACTAAATGGTATTTAATATGACGGACTGTTGGTTTTATGCTATAAAGAACTATATTCATTTTATAATTAATTTTATATTTATATGTATATATATACATATTATAGTAAATAAAATCCATGGGAAAAAATCGCCATCATTGTCGGATTGTCGTCTAAAATTCTGAACACATTTTTTTGGGAAGATAGCTTACTGTAAAGTTCGTTGCGTTCACGCATAAATCACCGTTTTTAATATATTATCTAAATTAAGATATTAAAAAAAAAAAAAAACAACCTACTGTGTCTAATTTATATAGTTTTTGACATTTTACTCCACGCGATGTCGTTTAAAACATCTGTACGATATTTTTTTATATTTATACATTTATATTGGTACGAGTCAGTAAAATGTAAGCATATTCATTTCTTTTCCATCATAGTCTTCGAAATCATTGTTCATACAACTTTTCACTTGTATTATTTTAAAAATCCTTTTTTACTGAATATTTTTTAACGTTTTTGTAAAAATGCTTCGAACTAGAGCGAACGAGAATGATCTGTATCATTTGTATCAAAAGCATAGTATTTGAGCGTTTTTCACCGGAAGTAAAACTATTACACTAACTGGCAATGATTACGGGAAAAATTTAATGGAGAGCATCCAAAGACCACCCCCCCCCCTAACAAAACTGGATGGATATACGCCAATGAAAGACCTGTAAAATACGTACTCAAGGAACGAAGATGAAGAGAGTTTATAATTGCTAGGAAAGATGGCGTAAAATAGCAAAATCAGCGAAGGCTTTAAAATTTACTAAATCAAAAACTTCCAACAGAAAAAGAAAATGTTTTTGATGGGACTTTCGTTTCTCATCGCGGAAATTTTAATTTCCATTAATATTACGAGTATATATGGATCTGCTGCACCTTTGTAGAGCTTCTTCGATGTCATTTATATTCGAATAAAATCCTGTTTCGACCACTGTGTTTTCACTTTTATTTTCGTTTCCCAACATTTGCAGTTATACGCGTTCGGTAATGACTATATATCGAGTATATTATATTGTCGTTCTAAACACAAATTATCGTTTTTGTATATTCAATATATAGGTATATGGATTGCTTTCGGGCTGACCGGCTACGGGTCTTTGAACAGAATAATATGCACTCCTGAGTCGTGTAGCGTATACTCTATAATACTGTACAGTACTCGTAAAATAATAACCTTCTCTCGCACTGTTTAAACGATACAAACAGACCGCTAATAATAATTATGATTATGAACTCTTGTGTCGGACATTGAAATATTATTTAAAAGAAATCGATTCGAAAGCGACCCGAATACATACCGGGTATTGTGTTTTATTCGGTAAACACCGCAGAAATGCTAACACATAGTAGTATAATATATACGTGATGTAACGTTCGTTGGACAAATTACCCACAAAAAGGGCGATTTTATTATTCGAGCTGTGTCAACAAAACGTCTTAATAATTTATCCGCTGGGGGACAACAAAACGTGTACCGAATGAATTTCCTTGGGCTTACAAAAAAAAAAAAAACTTGAGGTGCGTTGTCCTAGTGTGTAGAATTCCGAAAATATATGATATTTGGAATTGGGTATATGCTTGACATTTCATTTACGATGTTAAATTTATGTATTTCCCCCCCCCCTCCCAATAATGAGTAATATTGAGTAAAAATGACACCGCTACCTGTCTAAAGAATATTTTAGTAGAAAATTGTCACGCATAATTCGTGATTTTTTTTTTAACTTTGTACTTGAATAACACCGATGTCGACAGCGGCTGCAAAGTTTCGTTTTCCTTTTTATAATGCGGATTTTGTTATTTAAATCAGTAGTTTTTATCTTTAGGTACGGCGTATTCGTGTAGACTGCGAGAAAAGTAATTTAATGGTATTTTCACTTTGACTCGGTCGGGACTTTTTGTTTGGAGATTTCAAAATGTCATTGAAATTTTTTATTTTTAGTTTTGAAAATAAACCACGCTACTCGAACATAATATAGTATTGTAACCGACCAAGTCAATTACGACTACAAAAATAATATTAAATTAAATCATAAATCTTATTGGTCATAATATTATTTTATTATAATAATAATTTTACTAATAATTCGATTTCATCATTATTCAATATTAATATTCATTATAAATAATGATGAAGCGTTAAACTAACAAGAAATTTACATTAATAATTAAACAGTTATTAATTTCTAGAACGATGAGGTGACGATAAAGAACAAGAAAATAATAAAAAAAACGGTTAGATGTTTTGGAAATTGTAACTGTTTTTCAATCCCTAAAATTGTTGCTGATTTTCCGTCTGTTGGTACTATTTGTTTTGATAATTTTTCTGAATTCCTAAACATATTTTTTTTAAAACTGACGACAAATAACATTCCCTTGTGTTTTATTTTTGTCTATTTCTTGGTTAACTTGGAGGTAAGATGAAAATCACTATCCACACCCTTATCAGTTTACCGAACTAACCTAACTAACCTAACCTAACCTAACCTAACCTAACCGAATTTCCAAATTATACTATAATAACAAGCCTACCCATGGTGAAACTTATTCGGCTTTTTTATTTCCTGGTTCTCTTCATCATTGATCATTAAGTATTCATACATTATTATTTTAAATGCTAATCTTAATCGTATTTCAGATTTCAACAAAACAAAGAATGTATTTGTTCTTTCATTAATAAAACTTTTTTTTGTCACTTAATAAAATAGTGTGCGATTGTATATTGAACATTCCTTATTATAATGTTGCGGTAAAAACTTTGTCAGCCTGCCTGATTGCCTACCGACCGGGCAAAAAAAAACCGCGTGTATTTAATTATTATTGTATAACTATACTGACAATAATTGCTCATTTGTTATACTATGTTGAATTGCGAAGTTAACGTTTTACGTATAATGTTATTTTCAATCTTCGATGTCGACTCTGGTTTTCTGCTGCAAAAAGGTGGGCGAGTAATACGAAATATATTATTTGGATTTCTTTCTCTTTTCTCTCTCTCTCGTTAGCATCATATTATTGTTATTATTATTATTAAGTATCGTTTATGAACGGAGTGTGCGACTACCGTAACCATGTATAGCTACGTGGTGTAAATGTGTAGGCGAGATAAAAGGATATTTGGTTTTTTCTCGTGTAACGAACACGAAGTTATAATAATAGTTATATATTCATGTCGGTTAGGTCGTAAGTGTTAGAACTTATAATGAAATATGTTTTTCGCGGGGCCTAATACGGAGGTTCCATATGCGAATTATTAGGTACCTATACACAATGCGCTTAATACGAGCGTTCGCCATTTCACCAAATAATAATATTATACCATTGATTTTATAATAATATACAAGATAAACCGTGTTATACGAAATAGTGGCAACATTTGGAAACCGGTTATCTATTGAGCGACGGTATAGACCTTATGATGAGGTACACCACTGATTGTCGCAAGCCGAAAATTGTTTCCAAATCGTCTCCTCGTTTGGCTTATCTGTATAATATTATAAAAACGTTGATTATATATTAATGCGAAAGAGTTATACAGACACCATTTCATTATTGTTCGTTTTGGCAATAGTTACAATTTTTTTTTTTTTACCAAAAATTAACTTTTTATTTTATACCCGCACGTGGCACGTCAGATCATTCAGCATATGATTATGTTTAACCGACATTTTATTTTCGTCGTAGTGACCACGATAGTGACACGAGTGTTTTATACTATTATGTATATTATTATTATTATTATTATAGAGTTGTTATATAGCTGAAACGGATGTACTTATATAACAACAAACGCAGTGTTCGAATTTAAAATACGATAACGAGTATAATAGTATGTAACGCGACAATACAATAATATTAAAATATGATTCATCATCACACTCAAAATTATTATATACGAGATTCTCCGAGTGGATCTATATACATATACAATATAATAATATTATTATTTTTATCACCGAATCACGTTCAAATATCGCGTTTAGAACTCCAATATCCAAAATAATCGGCAAATGACCTTATATATAAACGGATTAATGTGCGTTCCCTATATTTTCTGATATCTATGCGTTATGAATTAATGGTTTTAGAAATTTAATGTTGAGCTTTAGTGGACCTTTGGGAAGGAAGACAAGTTAATTTCTTGTGATTTTTCCGCGAAATAAAAACTAAATTACGAATAATTTAGTCCGTAATTACAATTGGTTTGATAACCTATATAATTACGTTTGAAGATTATCGTTTTTTACACATATATATTCGTGTACTTATAAACATGGAATAAAAAGCATTTTACTATATTTTTTCTTCCAAAAAGGAGTACTATTTGAACTTGGGACGCAGTTTCTCGTTCTATATGCTCAATTCAGTTATGTCAATAGCAAATATCGTAATATTATATTCTCACCTTCTCTTCTTATTATTCCACTGTGGTTTTCGATCTTTTAATGGGTTGACTGATGCAGCTTTTCGTGCTTCTCTATATCAAAATACTCAATTCCTTAAACTTTTCATAACCACTTAATAATTTGCGGTTTATAATATTATTATTCCGTACTTGGCGTTCCTCTTCTGATTTTACTTTCTGCGTAACCATTAATGGCCAATTTCAACTAACTATCATAACATATATTATAGTATACTCGTATGTGACCTATCATTTCTGTTTTTTTTTTTTTTTTAAACTTCCGTTTAAATCTGGCAATATATGTATCCAATTGAGTCAAAATGATTGTCTATAAAAAACAAATTAAGCTATATATACTGCGTACGTATTTCCAGTATTGTATACGTATTTTACCTGAAAATGTATGGTCCCGTCTATAACCTTGGCACTCAAGTGTGGTATGATGTATGTAGTTGTGGTCAAAAGGAACACAGTAGAATTAAGATCGAATTAGCGCGGGGACCTAAACCATGCGTCTAATAGGGAAGAGTGTAAAAAAATGGTTTTAGCAGCAAATATGGTCTATGCTATTTATGTATAGTCTATGCTGGTATAAGCTATGGTGTTCTATAATATTTCTACAAAAAATTTAATTTCCTTAATATTATTCTTCTTATAACGTTTTCGTTTATTAATCACTTTGTGTGTTACTCTTGTCCACAAAAGTCTTAAAAAAATGTATTAAGATTTGTACGTCAGGATGTGTCACAATAGTTTAAACGCATTTTTATCATAGAACACCATTTAATAACGTATAATATTTTAACCACGGATTTATTACAATAGGACCGCGCATAACGTAAAAGTTAATAGGCCACTTCGCGCCATCCGTTGCTGCCATCATCGCGTCGTTCGAATAGAACTAATAACCACCGACAAAGTGAAATCCTTGCGTTACATATTATGTATATTATTATTATGGCGAGTATGAGCGTTTAAAAAATTACAAATAATTATAATATCTTATACTTACCTAATTGGCATATTTTTCAGAGTTCATCAAACTGTAGGTGTACGAGTAATATTATATAGACATTAGACATACAAATAGATATTTCGTCTCCAAAGCAAATTTTCATAATAATTATTATTATTATGATTTGTGTATACGTGTATCATTACTATACTTTTCTAAAAATAAAAACGAAAAGGTATTTTTTTATTATTATTATTCTATACAAATATTTAAAAAATGATTGTATAAAAAAAAATTAACGTTACATAGTACAACAATATTATTATAATATTATATTATGAGTGTACTAACAATAATTATTATAGTATTTTTTTTTTATCGTGTAATATTATAATAATATATCACTGCGCGTGTAATCTCAAGGTAAAACACCGATAATTCGGAATTTGCTTTGAGCTTCCAAAGAAACCAAACGTTGGTATAATACCTTATCGTCTATACTCTATAGGTATTTGATATTTTCAAACAATTTAAATCTGTTTCTGTCGTGATGTTGGTGTGTATCGAATGTCATATTTTAAACAATACGTTACACAAAAATATTATATTCATTGTACTAGACGAGTGAGCTAAAAATCTGGTCCGCCATTTTAATGAGAATTATAGGTCTCTTTATGTCTCTGTATAATGTAATACTATAATTTATTAATAGCAAATATATTATAATGTATAGTGTACATAATATACGCAATAAGGACAAAATGAGATAGTGAGAAAATTCAAATTCTCACAAATATGGCGGAAAATGGTTGTTTCAATATTATATTATTATGATAGTTAATCATTTCATTGTTATCATTGATGGTACTTTTGGAAACTGAAATTTTAATATAGGCCAATATAGTTGTTTTTTAGCCTCCTCCTGACTTTAGTCGTTTTAGTCTAGAGAAATGACATGTTAGGGTATATACTGATGTCCGTGATGTATATACTCGAGCTTTTAAAACCTATAAAATAAACTGTTGTGTAAAAACAAACTCGTTGTTTCTTTACCGTAATTGTTCAAAATCAAAGCCTGTTTCAGTAGACTCGGGGAAAGACGTCGGTTTACGAAATCAACTGCAGTTACTGAAAAATTCCTTTTCGTTTATTTTGATTACTCAAATAGCATTAAAAAAAAACCTCCCTAATATATAATAATAAAATCCTCTTATTAACAATATTCGTGTTAAATCATACCATTTTTTTCTTTAAGTTTGAATGCATAAAATAAAAATCGACTATAAAAAGATTATCACTACTGTAAATCTAAATTATACTTTGAGCGATGGGATCAAAATTTCTTCTACAACCCATCTCAAACATTTTTACTAAATCCCTTCTCTATCCATTGCATTTTCCTTTCAGTTTAAACCACTGTCGAGTAATCAAATTTCTTTTTTATTTATGTAAATTATAAAAATAAATACAATTTTCATAGTAAGTTATCAAAACAGACATATTTTCTGTATTTATAGGCATATGTGATTTTCATAAAGTATTTTTATTAAAATTATTATTGGCTGTGTATAAATTTCTAATTATAATATTTTAATTTTCGAATTGGTACAATGCATAATAATTATTGAAATATTTAATATTATAATTTGGTTTTAATTGTTCTAGGTCATCGCGCGGTTATTTATAAAGCAAACGATTATTCTATAGAATATTATCTTCTGTATAATATTATAATACCTCTAGTTAGTAATCGATTGTACTATTTTTAAAGTCTATCGATTGCCATGTGCATTCTATAATATAATAATAATTTATTATTATTATTCCTTTTGATAGGTGGCAATTATTATTATTTTTATTTTTATTGTAACAAAAATCTTAATACATTAAAATTATTTACGATAAGTACAAATGGTTTCTTACAATGTTCGTCATCTGCCTGCATCTTTGAGCAATGTGCTTTTGTTTATGTTACATGTTGAATAAATGTCACAAAACTGTAAGATTTGTAAACGATTTTTCAAGATTCCCTGTTTTTGAGTGTACAATTTGTCTTATATAGGAATATGCACTGAGTTAAAGTATTCGGGTCTAGATAATATACGCACTAGTTACCTAAGGATTTACGTGAATAAGAACTTTTAATGATCACCCTCTCAAGTCAATAAAGTCAAACTCATTCAATGGGCCAATGATTTAAAACGTTTTTTTTTTAAAAAAAAAAAGTTGGTAGACCTAGTATTTTTCGATTAAATTTCTGAATTTTATTATGATGCAATAGTCTACTTCTGCTCCCACTAACCTCCACTCGTTTAAAAAACTTGTAGGTATGTTTATTATTATTGTAATGATATATATCTATAAACGTGTATAAAAAATTTATTGAACAAAAAATTATTCTGATTTTACCAGTAAACTTTATTATGTTTTCGTTTATTAAAAAAATAAAAATCTTGATAATTTTGATCCAATCACTCAAAGTACCTACACAGTATTGTATAATTTAGATTTCCTGTAGTGATAACGTTTTTCTAGATAATCGATTTTTTTTTTATGTTCAAGCTTTAAACGAATCGCATTATTTTAGTACACCTATTTAAACGCGAATATTGTTACTAATTTTTAATTTATTCAGTGTCTTTATTATTAAAATATTACAACACAGTAGTATATTATTAAATATTATATTATAATGTAATTTATTATAGTTGTGTTTTTTCTCTTATTGTCAAGATGACCCAAAAATTAGCAAAACTGTATCTAGGAGGTGAACTGCTTGCAATTTGATTAAATGTTTTAAATAAATTATCCTCAGGAAGAAATTCCTTTTGGGATACTGCGCGAAATAATTTTTTTTTTGGTAAGGAAAATCCTAACCAACAAGTTTTAAAAATATATATAAAAATAGCAATTTTTTGAAAAAAGTATTGGAAATATCAAAACAAGTTTTATTAAAGTACTATCAGATGAAATATCAACATTTTTGTTAAACTAATAATTTCTTTGTTACACTCGTAATTTAAAACAAAACAAAAAAATAATATTTCAACAGAAAAAAATGCTTTAAATTAATAGTATAATAAATTCGTCACCAAAGAAGAAGTACAGGGGTGTGAATATAATTTTCACACAGCGTTTACATTACTTTTTATTTGTTCAATTCGTTATTAGAGTTATATTTTTAAAGCTATCTTGTCGTTTTACCATTTTGATGAAATAAAAAAAACTACAAATACTCCGCGTGACGTATTTAGAAAAATAATTGCCTTCTACAGTCGATTACCTAATTAAATAATAAAGTATATAATAATAATTGTTGTACGTTTAAAACGAAAACTAATTACTTAAAGCTAATATAATACTATAATAGAATTGTATTTTCTGTTTTTCATAAATCTAGTTTAAATTAAATAAATATAATGGGAAAATGTTGTAATATATGTGAATCAATAAGAAACGATTTCAATTCAATTTAAAATCGACTTCTTCATTCGAGTTTATTTTATTAATTTATTTCTATTGTACAAAAAAAAAAAATTCGATACTGATAATGTCTATGTATTATATTCTATATTTCCATTATATGAGTTATGGAGGTTTATTAGTGAAGCGACCAGAACACCTTATTTATTTATGAAAAAATTCGTAATCGACTAATTTTAAATGACTACAAAATTGTTATTGAAATAAACAAAATAAATATTTCAATTTTTTTTTTTTTAAATTCGGAAAGTAACGAAAGGCATCCATTGGTTTTATAATGATGGTTTTTATTATTATTATTATTATTATTCTGTGAACAACTTTTCTATCAGAAATCTTGCTCCAATGTATCAAGTGTAACTCTTTTTCTGAAAAGAAATTTTATCTACTTGGTACATTTTGTGATCGTTTTTTCATAGTCCAAGCGGTTTTCATAATAATTTGGAAAAATTTAGTTAAAACGGGAAAATTTACATATATGGTATAAAAGAAATTTCGCTTTGAATCGTTTTTCGTTAGTAATGGTTTATCGTTGCGTACAGTTATAAATTTATTTTTATATGTTTTTAGAACCTATATACTTGACATATATTTATTAGTACTTTTTTGTATTATAAAATCCTAACTCTGGTGATAAGACCACAGGGTGGACACTGGACACTGATAAAAATTAACCTTGGCGCTATACGTATGCTGCGAAAATGTAGCAGCTATATTCTAAGCATACAATTATTCATATTATAAACATAATTTATTATATTATCTCATTGCCATAAAAATGATTTCACAGAAAGAAAAACTACGCAACGCGTAACTTGAGAATGTTGTTACCATACATTATATAATACATGCAAATGTATATATTGACTAATTAAAAAATTAATTTGTATTTAACTTTTTAACCCTGCTGTATAATTATATTTGTATCGTTAACTAATTAACTTAATAGTTTAAGTTTGCTTTGTATAAACTTTAATAGGTTCATTTTAACATACGTCCAGTCAATGAGTTGAAGACTAGTGATAGAAAAACAATTTTTTTTAATAGCAGAGTTAATTTACTATTTTGTTTTAATTTTAACTGAACTAATTTAATTTATTTTCTGTGAACTTTCGGTTTTAACTGGAGGCTCTTTTTATTATTTTATTTAATTTATTCGAGTTAATCATTTGCATTAGCTTAACCTTTGATATTATGCTGATACGAGCACTGTACCTACGCTATAAGAAGATGACCGTCTTGTTTTTGTTCACAAAGTGTCTTGTCTGATTTTGTATATTTTTTGTACGATTCTAATAATGATAATAATAATAATAATCTAGTGTATATTATATACTATATACATATCAGCCTGTGACTGTGATGAACTACGTATTATATAATATGTATGTGTGTCTACATCTATTTAGTATCGTTTTGGGACAAAAGTAATTCCGACCAATCAAACAG